GGAGGTCCTGGGCTGGTGTGGTTACACGTGGTCTGTGGTTGTGAGGCCCAAATTCTGTCATAATTTATGCATGTATGAATTTGTACTGCCAAATTCTCTGAAACGCCTTTGGAGACGGCTTATGGTAGAGAAATGAACATTCAATTCACGGGCAACAGCTCTGGTGGACATTCCTGCAGTCAGCATGCCAATTGCACGCTCCCTCAAAACTTGCGACATCTGTGGCATTGTGCTGTGTGATAAAACTGCACATTTTAGAGTGGCCTTTTATTGTGGCCAGCCTAATAATCATGCTGTCTAATCAGCATCTTGATATGCCACACCTGTGAGGTGGATGGATTATCTCGGCAAAGGAGAAGTGCTCAATAACACAGATTTAGACAGATTTGTGAACAATATTTGAGAGAAATAGGCCTTTTGTGTACATAGAAAAAGTCTTAGATCTTTGAGTTCAGCTCATGAAAAATGGGGGCAAAAACAAAAGTCTGGTAGTATGTAGGGCTTGCATAAACTAGTCGAGTAGTCGAGTGATCGACTACTTCAACCACTAGTCGGCGCTGTCAGAAACAATCGACTACTCCAGCATGCATTAACCATAATGCATGCACAGAGTTTGCAAGTACAACGTGAATTTTAGGATTACGATATTGAGTGTTTAAATATGTAATGTAATAATTAGGGGTGTGTCCGAAGCCGAATACCTCATTCGGAATGGCACGGATAATGGCTTCAAAAACGAATAACGAATAATTCCGCCTGAATATTCGGCTGAGGCTGGCACAGTCTGGTGTTTGCTAGATGACATGTGAGCCAGGGGATCAGTGCAATATTATACACAGACAGACCTCTAAAGTCACACAATAATGAGTGTGTGAAGTGAATGAATGTAAACTTTATGAATGAAAAGAGCGCATATCAAACACCACATTGCTGTGGCCTCTCCGTGCATCTCTCAGAAATCAGAGCTTGGCAAGAGTAATATCAACTAAAATAATACATCATACACATTCTATTATTTGTGTATATTTAAAAGGCAATGATTTAAACCGTAGGCAACGATATGATACACTAATGAATTGAATAAACACAGCGCGCTCACCAATCAAACAGCCGCCTTGCGCGTCTCAGTCTCTCAAAAACCAAACCAGCTCTCTCTCAATAGTAGGCTAATAATCATCTAAGATACAGATACATTTTCTACTAGGCCTACATGTTTACTTCTTTATCTTTTGCTGGTTTGCGTGGCACACGCACATTTGTTTAGTGAAGCAAAAAAAAAGACTCGCTTAAAGAATTCTGCGTAATGAAAATGTGCGCCTTGAATGAATTCAGTCGTGTTCAAATGATCACTAAACGTTTGTCATGACATCTCTTATTTTTAGAAAATAAAAATAATTTTAGTTTAACAGCATATTTGTTCAGTAATAAAAAAAAAGATAGTCATAACGGTCTTATCAAGTAACTGTACGAAGTTCCACCTGGTTTTATCCGAATACAGATACGAATAATTCTGTGATTGTTACAGATACAAATACAGATGCAAAATACTGGCTGTTACATGAAACTTAAAATATGTAATGTCATAATTATAAAGTTTTGACAATTTACGTATGTTATGTAATTTTTGCATTAGGCTATGAATTACTAAACGTTTATTGATAAGAACTATTTCATGTCTTTTCATTTACAGCATGAACCACGAGTAGTCGAGTAACTCAAGTATTTTTTAAATAAGAAATCAACTAGCAGAAATCAGTAGTTGTGCAACCCCTAGTAGTGTGAGACAAAGAAAAAGCACTAAAGATAAACACCTAATGTGAACACTTCGGTGTGAAGCAGTAGCAATTAGTAAGCAAACTTCATACATCCAGGGTGAAAGGTGGCAGTATAGAGTCTAAAACCACAAGTAGTCGAGTAACTCAAGTATTTTTTAAATAAGAAATCAACTAGCAGAAATCAGTAGTTGTGCAACCCCTAGTAGTGTGAGACAAAGAAAAAGCACTAAAGATAAACACCTAATGTGAACACTTCGGTGTGAAGCAGTAGCAATTAGTAAGCAAACTTCATACATCCAGGGTGAAAGGTGGCAGTATAGAGTCTAAAACCACAGTTACCTGGGACGAATAAGAACCAGATAAAAGTTAGCAAAAACAAAAATAGTGCATAGTTTAAATGTTAGATTTGTTAGTCTGTTAGCCAATAGCTCAGCCCCTTGTGTCTTAATAATGTTTTAATAATCCAAATCAATTTAAAATTGCACCTGTTTGTCTGTAGCTCAGTAATGCTGGTGTATTTTGCAGGGCTGGGTATCAATTCAGATGTTCCAATTCGATTAGTTTTTGATTTTCAAGCTCTCAATTCAATTCAATTTAGATTTTCGATTCGATATTCGGTTCCGATTCGATTTTTGATTTCGATTCTCGATTCGATTTGACAATATGAATGAATATATATTTAATACAAATCCTATATTTATACAAAATGAACAGTGAACATAAGATTACAAATGGTTAATTAATAAAAGGAAATTAAGAGCCACAAACCTGTATATTAAACACTTTTTATTTTAGGTACACTTGGGTACCATAAAACAAAACCCATTACCTGGGACGAATAAGAACCAGATAAAAGTTAGCAAAAACAAAAATAGTGCATAGTTTAAATGTTAGATTTGTTAGTCTGTTAGCCAATAGCTCAGCCCCTTGTGTCTTAATAATGTTTTAATAATCCAAATCAATTTAAAATTGCACCTGTTTGTCTGTAGCTCAGTAATGCTGGTGTATTTTGCAGGGCTGGGTATCAATTCAGATGTTCCAATTCGATTAGTTTTTGATTTTCAAGCTCTCAATTCAATTCAATTTAGATTTTCGATTCGATATTCGGTTCCGATTCGATTTTTGATTTCGATTCTCGATTCGATTTGACAATATGAATGAATATAGATTTAATACAAATCCTATATTTATACAAAATGAACAGTGAACATAAGATTACAAATGGTTAATTAATAAAAGGAAATTAAGAGCCACAAACCTGTATATTAAACACTTTTTATTTTAGGTACACTTGGGTACCATAAAACAAAACCCAACTCTATATTTCAAATGCATACAATGAATAGACAGAATTTTGATGTAAGATGAAAAACTGATGCTGAAAATTCAGAACAGTCGTATTCCTTGATCAAACAGGATCAGGTTATTTTATGTTTAAGATAAAACAAACATTAGCTGTAACATGGAGGCTGCAAGCCTATGAACGGTGTAGGAAAACTAATACTGGCTTTTGGGTGATAGTTCACCCAAAAATAAAAATTCTGTCAACATTTATTCATGTATGAATTTCTTTTCTTCTGTTGAACACAAAAGAAGATATTTTGAAGAATATGGATAACCAAACTGTTTTGGTCCCCCATTGACTTCCATATATTTTTCTCCATACTATGGAAGTCAAGTCAATAGGGCCCATCAACTGTTTGGCATATAGCTTTGTTCTTGTCCACAGTATCTTTGTCATCGTGCTTGCGAAATCTAAAATGCATCCATACCTCGGACTTTTTATGTGAAGGTGGTGTTGACGTCGGGAACGCACCTGAATCTGCCATTTTAAAGGGGTCATATGATGCGATTTCAAGTTTTCCTTTCTCTTTGGAGTGTTACAAGCTGATTGTGCATAGATGAGATCCCTGAAGTTGCAAAGACTAGTCTCAAAAACAAAGAGATATTCTTTATCAAAGTTAAGACTCTGCCACGCCCCCCTAATACGGCTCGTTCTAACACGCCCCCACATATCTACCTCACTCTGGAAAGAGAGGGGGGAAGACACATCACAGTGGAGTCAGCTGTCTTAACCGTGGCTTGTGTGCAGCAAACACATATTCATCACTGTGTCTGTCCCCTTTCGGGCTCTGTCTTTACATTTATTTTGAAAGATGAAGCTCGCGATTATGGTAAGGGGCGTTACATTTCCGACGAGTGCTTGCGGTGTTCGGCCAATCACAATGCACTGGGTCAGCTGGCCAATCAGAGCAGACTGCGCTTGTTGGAAGGAGGGACTTTGTAGAAAACGAAGCATTTGAGAGAGGCGGGGCATAGAGGACTTACAATAATGTACAGTATTTGAAAAATAATGTGTTTTTTGAACATTAAAGCATGTCAACATATTCTGTTACACCAAATACACAAAATAATGATCTTTAAAAAAGCATCATATGACCCCTTTAAGCAATGAATGAATGACGGACTCTCCGTAGTAACATCGCGCAAGGCAAATAAGGGGGTGACATCTAGTGGATTAGACTAGTAATAAGATTAACGTAAATCTTATGTTTAATGTTTGCGGAAATAAATATTGAAAAAAATCGATTCGTGGCCTTTGAGAATCAATATTGAATCGACCACATTTTTAAAAAACGATATATCGAAAAAAAAATATTTTTTTGCCCAGCCCTAGTATTTTGTGGCACTTTATTTTGTGATTTCACTGGAGCAGAGAGTGTGTTAGGATAGAGAAATAAAAAAGCATAGTGTACTTATAAAAGGTATTTGCGGCGAGGTGGTGCCCTGTCCTCTCGCTTAACCTTTGGTCCACCACTGACTAGAGGGAAGGATAATACTTAATGTAATGTTACATAAACCGAAAAATTTTAAGGATGCTGACACCTAATTCATTTTAGATTGTAAAAGCAGCTGAGCCCCCTAAACAGAGTCCAGAATGACCTCAGTGACTGTATAGTTCTCAGTTTTCACCATTTGTATATCATAGCACAGCAGTGTTTGACCTTAGGGGTTCCATATAAAGAGGTTTGCAAAGCTTCACTCACAGAAAAGCTTTCTACCATTCTTGAATGCTTTTGAGGTGCTGCTGTTTAATAGCCTCTCCGTGTGGAAGCAGTATGCTTGAAGGACCTTGAGCGGTGCCGTTTGAGATTTTCAGAATAGCTTTTCATGCTCGACATGTCTGTCTGATTGATATTGCCCTCTTTCTTTCTGTCACTTTAGGCTCTGTGCAGATTCCTTGGGAACGTGCCATATCCCCCAACAAAGTGCCATACTACATCAAGTAAGTCCAGCCGTAGGGGTGTGCCATATCGCGATTTTTGATCGTGGACGATTAAAATGTTTCCACGATCTGCTTTTGAAGAAATATAGTAGTGCTAGCTACAGCGCATGTTCTATCAGTTGTAGTTCTGGCGCCTCCGTCTCAATATACTGTAAAACGCAACATTACATCCACATCAAATGTTAACAAAGCGGTAGAGTTACACTCATGGGATACTCTGCTTATTCGCAATCACAAAAGTACATTATTTGGGTAACACTTTACAATAAGGTTCATTAGTTAAACATTAGTTAATATATTAACTAACATGAACTAACCATGAGCAATACATTTGTTACTGTATTTACTAATATACGCTAATGTTAGTTAATAAAAATACACATGTTAATGTTAGTTCACAGTGCATTAACTAATGTTAACAAGATTTTAATAATGTATTAGTAAATGTTGAAATTAACATTAACAAAGATGAATAAACGCTGTATAAGTGCAGTTCATTATTAGTTCATGTTAACTAATGTAGTTAACTAATGAACCTTATTGTAAAGTGTTACCATTATTTGCATGTGCTTTAAAGCCTTGCCGGTTAAACATGTAAAAAAATAAATTGTGAAATGATATTTTTGCCATATCGCCCACCCCTATCCAGCCATAAAGCATCAGCAGTCTATGAGTGTCAGAAACGAGAGAGACTGTGTAAAACTGTGGGATGAGCATGTCAGATTATCAGGTATAGAGAGCAAACTCATTACTGATCCCTGGTGCAGAAGATTATTGCACTGTGATCTAAAAAGAAAACATTTCAACTGTGGCGTTCCTTTTGTCACGTTTTGTGCGTTTTTAGCGATTTGAGTTTATAAATGGCACAATAGAGTGTTGTGTGGGGAGTGCAGAGTCGAGAAAGAAAGTCTGTAATATTTCTGTTAGAACTGCTGGAACTATGACGTTTTTGTTAATTGTCATAAAGTATAATAAAATATAAATATTAAATAAAAAGCTCAAACTCACTTAAATTAGGAATGTTGCCTTGGCAGCTAACTGCAATAAACAACAACAGGTTTAAGTTGAAGTACTAAAATTACTAAAAGTGAAATTAAAATAAAAGATAAATAAATATAAATATATATTAAAATATATTATAGAAATGACACAAAAACATAAAATTACTAAAACAAACTAAAATTAAAATGAAAACTGAAAATATAAAAAATAAATAAATACAATAATAGTATTATTTATAAAATATTATAGTATTTATTCATGTTTTGAATGCCATGAAGTGCCATGTGACTAATCTCTGAAGTCACAGAAAATGATGACATGATGGTCATAGTGAACAAGCCACAGGATGAAAATGATGCAACTGAAGGTTTACATATCATTAACCAATCAATGTAAACGATAGCGCAGGTAATGAGTGAGTGAGTGAACAGCTAAAAAACCTTCCCTTTTCAGACCCCCTCACTTATTTATTTGTTCCAATGATTTATTCCTCTGATCGTTTTTTTTTCATGGCTGCTGGTGCTGTAGAGGAAGGCATGAGTACAGGTTGTTGTTGCAGTAAAGCATGCAGCACGCATGTATCGGCTTTGTGGAGACACTCTTACTGTTCATGCCTGTTCGTTAGATTTAAATTTAAGGTATGTTTAGCCATGAGCTTTTCTTTGAATGTCATCAAGACAGCTCTTGTGGATATAAGCACTTAATGGCTCTGAGATCTTTGTTCAAGATCACTGTGATTGTGAGTACTCTCTCGCTCTCTCTCTCTCTCTCTCTCTCTCTATGTGTATGTATATATATATACTGTGGAAATGTTCAGATTTACGGGATAGCATATTAGTGCCTGTATATTTTACAACGTAAATATTTAATATATTAAATTAAGCGATATAATGTTAAAATACCAATCTACTTGAACTATCTAAATCTAGTTGAATTATCAAAAGCTTTTTTACCGTAAAAAGAACTGATAAGCACTTTATTAATGCAGCTGGTGAAATAAAAAGGCACATAATGAATTAGAGATCATCATAAGAGGCTTTTCCGCAAAACATGGGCAGTCATATACAGACAGTGCACACACAAAGACAAAGCAGCATCAGGGTAACCAACCCAATCTCATGCAAAACCCATTTTGCGAGGTGCTAAATTTGTATGAATTCCCCTTCACCACCCCTAAACATAACAGTCACTGTGGTGGAAGCAGATTGTGTGAGAATGTACAAATTCATACAAATTAGCCACCAATTCACTAAAAGTTAATAATTGCCATGAGTTTGTGTTTGGGTAATACACAACACACACGCACACACACACACACACACAAATGCAATAAACATTAACTAAATAACAGAAAATGTGCCACAAAACATGGCAGTGTACATTATTGATAACAAAAATAGGAAGAAACAAAATTATTCATATAAAATATAATCATATGTGCTGTGTCACACAGGGACTTTTGGGAACTTGCTGTTTTTCACTGTAATTTATACAGAAGTTTGTAGTTTTTTACTTCCAAAAAACATAAATTTGACTGGATTTTACTTTAAAGTTACATATAATGTAATATTACACCAACAGTTTTTCAATGTACTGTATGTGGTTAGGTCACAAGTTAACCAATTGATGGATTTTATTTGATTTATTTATATATACATATTTTTTTTTGGAAGAAAAACCTATGATTTTGTATAAACCACATTTTTTACCGTGTCCTTAAAGGGTTAGTTTACTTAAATGATGTCTGAATTTAAATTTTAATGCACCCACCCCCCTCCAAATCCAAAAGGGGTTTTTGTTCTATTGCAAAAGGTGAAAAACTGTTCCTGTGTGCGTCGTAGCCATTTGCTAAATTTGAATAAGCAGAAAGCTGCAGCAGATGGGAAATTTTTCACTCCATAATGATTAAAATTTGCATTTGTCTTGCATCGAAGAAACAAAGTCATATTGGTTTAGAGCGGCATGAGGGTAATAAATAATGAAAGTAAGAAATAATGAAATGAGTAAATAATGACAATGATAATGTTCAATTTTGGGTGAACTAGTCCTTTAATGTTTCTCTCACGTGTGTTCTCCCTCCTCTGTCTATGTTTTTTATTTTATTTTTAGCTTCACTGATCTTACTTAGCTCTTTTTCTCTTCCCTTTTGAAGCCATCAGGCTCAGACAACCTGCTGGGACCATCCAAAGATGACTGAATTATACCAAGCTCTGGGTGAGGCAATTAAACACAATTAAACTCTGCTCTTATATCTTCTATGTGTCTACTTCCCACTGGGGAACCATAGTGCGGACATACACAAGCTCAAATACACCAACTAGAAGACGGTCTCACACTGAGCTCGATTTCTTTACCTGGACCTCTCATTATAACCTAATATTTCATCCCACCCTAGAGATGTCAACAGCTCTCTCGTTAACCCAAGGGCAGCTGGGCCAACCTTACGAATGCTTTGCCAACTTCTAATTAACGATGATTAAATGGTGTTTACTGTGTGAGTTAATCTGATGCGACATGACGCAGGTTGTCCAAACACTCTCGCACGGCATGAGCATAAACCCCTCAACCCCACTGAAGTGACACATTGCTTCCTGTCTCTCTGTTTGCTAATGTCAGAGCGCAGCTATTCCTTTGCTGCTTTTTTCTCTCCTCATGAATGATATTCTCTCTTTTTCCTCTCCCATCTCCCCTGCTGGTCTCTCACAGCGGACCTGAACAATATCAAGTTCTCTGCATACCGGACGGCCATGAAGCTGAGGCATGTGCAGAAGGCTTTAAGATGTATGTAAAAAGAAGCACCCACACTGGTTTGCCCTTTTCCCTCTACTAAGTCATCGATTATTCGCGAAATTTCGTATACAGAGCTGGCCCTGCTGTGCGCCTCTGTTCTGTCTTTTTCATTAAAGCCCAGTGATTTTATGCAGCTTAATTAAGCCTAATAATTGGTGTGATTGTACTTCTTCGGGGAGGTAATTAAGAAGTCTGCGTGAGGAATGAACCACTGTTCCCCCTGCGACATGCTTTGCGGGTGGAGGTTTATCTGCCAATGTCCAGACAGGAGCTTTCTCTCGTTGGCAGTTCCCTTCTTTTCTTCAGCCTCTTCACTGTGGTCATAATATAAATATAAATGTGCCCGTGTAGGTTGGTTTTACACTTTCAAGATCCATTCAAAAATAACATGGCACTGAAAAAAATCTGTTATAATACAATGAAATATTTGTGATTTATGTGTTGCTTGCAAAATATTTTATTTCCTCTGAGTGTATTCAGGAGTGTATTCTGCCCCTGAATGTCCATCAATAGTAAAATATGATTTTAGCAGGAAACTGATGTAGCTGTATAACATCTAGTCAAACTTTGACTCCTCTGTGGAGAGCTTTGAACCCATTGGGTTATTCTATAAAACGGGTGCCTTTCCCCTTTTGATAAGCTGATTTAATCAAATAATCAAGTAAAAATTAATGTCTTTTTCAGCTATTACTGAAATGCACCATTTACCATCTCAAGCTACACACACACACACACACACACACACACATATAGAACATAATTATGTCTACAGAATGTTTACAGGTTGATGGTTTTACAGTTTAATTTGACACTGCAAACCTTTGACCCAAGGTTGTGAAACTAGGTGCTTGTTTTCTACAAATTTTCTTCAAGGTAACAGGTTTAAGGTTTTCCTCAACTGACAAATGTCAAAACAAATGATAAAGTGATAGAGGAGACTTGTCCTTGAAAAGTTCACATCTTTAAAGCATAATGCCATGTACAAAATATAAAATAAATCTCAGAATTTCAAAGCATTTTTATTAGTTAACATTAACAAAAATATAACACACATACACACACACTAAATGGTGAAAAGAAAGAAACAAATAAAATAATTCCTTGTTTTTGTAAATGTTTAGAAATATGTCTGTAATAACAGTAGAAGTTCAGCATCAGCTGTTATTTATTTATTTGTTTATTAAAATAAATCTCAGAATTTCAAAGCATTTTTATTAGTTAACATTAACAAAAATATAACACACATACACACACTAAATGGTGAAAAGAAAGAAACAAATAAAATAATTCCTTGTTTTTGTAAATGTTTAGAAATATGTCTGTAATAACAGTAGAAGTTCAGCATCAGCTGTTATTTATTTATTTGTTTATGTATTTATTTATTTATTTTTTACACATATGTGCATGAAGCAAAACAGATGGCACCTATTTTGTAGAATCATCCTAATGGAGAAAACGTTCAGGGCTTCATAAGCAGGTTAAATTCCACCACTGAGTATGGCATGTGCCTTTTAATGTCTCTCAGGACAAGTTACTGCTGGCTTGTTACTATCTCTCTCTATCTCTCTCTCTCACTCACAGACACACACACATACATGCACTCCTGGTTTGCTAGTTCATGTCATTAAAGGCACAATATGTAATTTTCACCGCTGGATGGTGCGTATTCAAAATAAACAAATACACACAGGTGTAGTTTGATGACGCCGTGACTGAGTGTGGAATCATGGAAGTTGTCGTCTTCATCCCCACAGCTGATGCAATCCGATGGGACTCGGGCAGAAATCATGTTCATGGATGAGCTAATGATTTATTAACGTAATAGAATGAAGCAGGGTGCAGCTGAAAGCCGTCAAAGCGAAACGAGGCCGCTGAACGAGCGCGACACACGGCTCGAAAGCAGCAGAGCTTTTATTATGCCACAGTCGACTGCTTCCGCTCCTTGCGGGTTAAAATTGCTTATTTCTCTGGATTTAAACATTCTTCGAAACATTTGGGTTAATGTAAGTACACAAGTCAGCAAAATATATAACACTCTTCTAGTGGTTTTTGGATATTTTAATTAAAAAATCTTACATAATGTGCCTTTGAAGGGGTCATATGATGCGATTTCAATTTTTCCTTTCTCTTTGAAGTGTTACAAGCTCTTGGTGCATAAAGAAGATCTGTAAAGTTGCAAAGACTAAAGTCTCAAATCCAAAGAGATGTTCTTTATACAAGTTAAGAGTCAACCACGCCTACCTAAAACGGCTCGTTCTAAGACGCCCCCACATACCTACGTCACAATGTGGGAAGATTTGCATAACGCCGCCAAAATGTTCACGCAAAGAAAGAAGGCATAACTTTTATTCTCGCTGTATTATTGTTGCTGCCGCCATGTCGTGAAGGCACTGTGTGTTTCGTTGTGAAAGCAAAACTACTTTGTTTGGCCTTCCAAAAGAGGACGATATCTGCTTCGTCATGCTTAGAGCTGACCTGTGCTGTTCGCTGAGGGAATACATCAGCTTTGCACTGTGGATCGCCGGATCGGCTTTCACCGTGGACGAAGCGGAGTCCAGCCCGGGGTCGTCACATGTGGTTGCCGCAAGCCCACCGGCCGCTACTTCATCGAATCCACCGGCTGTAATTATGTCCCCACTGGATGCAACAAATGCCTCATTTGTAATGGGTTTTCATGTTTTTGATTCGTCGCTCCGACCGGACAGGGCATCACAGTATGTTAAGGGGCGTAACATATCCGTCACATGCTTGAGGTATTCGGCCAATCACAAGGCACTGGATAGCTGGCCAATCAGAGCACACCTCGCTTTTCAGACTGATGAGCTTTGTAAAAATCAACGCTTTTCAGAAAGGCAGGGCATAGAGGAGAAACAATAATGTTCATTATGTGGAAAATAATGTGTTTTTTGAACTTTAAACCGCATAAACACATTTCATTACACCAAATACACAAAATAATGTTCTTTTTAGCAACATCATATGACCCCTTTAACTGAATTAATAACCAGGCTGCTATAGAAACGGTGCTGTTTTGTGAGCCTGGCTCTGATGATTGATGTCTGTATAAAATGAGCATCTACAAAGGCCTTTGCTTCCATATTTCAGCTCATTATCCAATAAGGATGACATCAGCATACAGCCTTAACCCTATACTCTCACTGCCGCACTAGAGATTGCCAGAGGAAATTATATTATAGCAGTCAAATCCAATTAGTTAACACTCCACACACGTACAGTAATACGCATCTGGCCTATTTATATATGTGTGTGTTTCTAGTGGACCTGCTGAAGTTGAGCAGCGTGGCGGATGTGTTTAGAGAACAGGAGCTGCAGCATGCCGAGCATGTGATGGATGTGGTCGAGGTCATCCACGCTCTCACTTCCCTGTATGAGAAACTAGAGGAGGAGAGGTCCATCCTGATCAATATCCCCCTGTGCGTCGACATGTGTCTCAACTGGCTGCTGAATGTTTACGACAGGTACTGACGGTAATGTCACTCACAACCCATTTGACCTGCTCCCACAAATTATGTCAAACCAACCTTGCACCCTCCTGCTCTCTGTGAGACACTTTTACTGGTCAGTCACATACTGCGCAAAAAAGGGCCACCCTATATCTGGAATATGACTTGACATTTATCTAATAATTTATTGCACGAAACATGCATTTCTGCATTAAAATTCATTTTGATAGTTTTAAGGGGCAAAACAGTCAAAAATGTAATACAACTGTTTTCTGTTATTTTAGTATTTTTTTATTTACTAAAAAATAAACTATACATTTTATTATTAATAGTTAGAATTTTTTTGCTTTATTGTTATATTTTCAATTTTCATCCACGATTTAGGCCTACTATAGGGAATGAACGAATTAACGAACTAATGAATTCGTGGCAGCTAAGCCTAAACAAGAGAACAAATACTTAATTCGTGGCCATAAATTAGACTAAACGAAAAAATAAATTCTTAATTCGTGGCCATAATGTAGTCCTAGCATAAAAGAGAACTAGCCTATTCTAAATTCGTGGCCGTGATTGTCTGCATGTCATGATCTGGGCTCCGTACAACCAAATATAACCTTAGCCTACCTGTTTATTCATTTATTATGGTATGTAACTAGCTCACCTTTTGCGGCACCATGTTTGCGTAGCACATCCTCGTGCTTTCTGGCAATGTGCCGCTTCAGATTCCAATATGAATCTTTACTAACTCTCCCCGCACTCCCTCTCAGTTTCTTCTCCCTGCTCATTCTTAACTTAGATTTTTTACTTTACATTTATGTATAAGGCTTGCAACTTCGTTGAAACAATATCTGAACTCTATAACTGCTCTACTATTCTCGATCTCTACAGATTCTCGATCTGGAACAAGCAAATCACCAAAAGGCATTCTGGGTTGAGCAAGCGGCGCTGAGCGTATTGAGCGTATTGAGCGAGCGGAGCGGAATCTTCAGAAAGGCGCTCTGCGCTCTTAAGGAAATATTACCACTCCGCTCCCACCCGCTCCGCTCACATGCTCTGAATACAACCATCATAACTCCCAAACATTGCCTAAAAATGTTTTATATATGTAAAGATAGCGAGCACTGATTAATTTGTTTGTCTTGCTCTCTTTGTTACCAATATCTTTGCCATTTCAAAAGTAAAAAGCACATGAGCTCTTACTTGTGTGTAGTAAGAGTGTGTAGACAGGGGGGACCTATTGGTCATTACATTTACATTTACATTTAGTCATTTTGCAGACGCTTTTATCCAAAGCGACTTACAATTGGGGAATACATAAAGCAATTCTTCTTGAAGAGGCAAACAGACACAAGAAGTGGTTGTAATACCAAGTTTTAGGCATTGTTCATATAAGTACAAGCTAGAAAGGGAAGGAATACATAAAGAGAAAGACAAAGTTTTTTTTTTTAAATTTAAGATGAAGTCAAGTAGCATTGAAAGAGATGAGTTGTCAGCTGTCGTTTGAAAATTGTCAGGGATTCAGCATTCCGTATAGGGGTGGGAAGATCATTCCACCAGCCAGGAATGGTGAATGAGAATGTTCTGGAAAGGGATTTTGAGCCTCTCTGTGATGGTACCATGATGCGTTGCTCACTAGCGAATCTCAGACTTCTGGAGGGGATGTAGATTCGTAGTAGTGAGTGGAAGTAGGCGGGTGCTGAGCCTGTCGCTGTTCTATATGCAAGCATCAATGTCTTGAACTTGATGCGAGCCGCAACCGGTAGCCAGTGCAAGGAGATAAAGAGAGGTGTAGCATGGGCTCTTTTGGGCTTGTTAAAGACCAGTCGTGCCGCTGCATTCTGAATCATTTATAGCGGTTTGATTGCGCTTGATGGAAGTCCAGCCAGAAGAGCATTGCAGTAGTCCAGCTTAGAAATTACAAGGGCCTGGCCAAGAAGTTGTGCAGCATGCTCTGTTAGAAAGGGCCTGGTCTTTCTGATGTTGTGCAATGCAAACCTGCAAGATCGGGCAGTCTTTACAATGTGACTTTGAAGGTCAGCTGGTCATCAAAGATTACACCAAGATTTCTGACCGAAGTCGATGGCGTAATTGTAGAAGTACCTAGCTGGATGGTGAAATCATGCTGTAGAGTTGGAGTGGCAGGGACGACAAGAAGCTCAGTCTTTGCCAGGTTGAGCTGTAGGTGATGTTCTTTCATCCATGCCGAGATGTCCGCCAGGCACCCTGAGATCCGTGCAGCTACCGTTGGATCATCTGGTTGAAATGATAGATAGAGCTTTGTGTCATCATCATAGCAATGGTAGGAGAAGCCATGTGCCTGTATTATGGGACCCAGTGATGTAGTGTATATGGAGAAGAGGAGGGGTCCAAGAACT